TGTATCTATCTGTGTCTCTTTCTGTGTCTTCATCTCTGTGTGGGTCTGTGTGCCCATGCGTGTCTGTCTCCATCTGTCAGTTTGTATATCTAGTCGCTGTCTCTCACCAGGTGAGTGCTAGCCTGCAATGCAGGCCAGGTGTAGTGTGTAAGCTGGGATGGGACAGCCCCTGCCACTGCCCGGGTGTGACCAGGGCCTGACAGGGCCAGGTGGCACTGCTGAGCAGAGTCCAGCTGGGCCGGAGACTGGGCTTCTGGTTTTCTGACTCTTCTCACCCGGGCAGATATCTGGAGAGAAGAGACCTTCAGGAGACCCAGGAAAAAAGGCCAAGAACCCGAAGAAGAAGAAGAAGAAGGACCCCAATGAGCCGCAGAAGCCTGTGTCAGCCTACGCGCTCTTCTTCAGAGACACTCAGGCCGCCATCAAGGGGCAGAACCCCAGTGCCACCTTCGGGGATGTTTCCAAAATCGTGGCCTCCATGTGGGACAGCCTGGGAGAAGAGCAGAAGCAGGTGAGCGTGGATCCCTTCCCAGGCCATCCCCAAGACTTTGGGGTGCTAGTGCCAGGGGCAGACTCCGCTGAGAGCAGGTTTGGGCCTAAGCAACAGATCACTGATGTATTTGAAATGCTTCTTTTAGCATGTTTTAAAATGTAAAACACTTTTAGAATATGGCATCGCACCAGTAGTTCATAAACTCTAGTAGTTTATTTGGGGAGGTAACCCCCAAATCTGCTGAGTGTGGAGAGGTGAGACAGCAGCCAATAAAGAGCATGGTGTCAGAGAATTCCCATGGTGCCCTGGGAGCCCTTGGCCAGCTGAGAGGTGGCCCAGCTGAGCCACAAGGGCCAGTGCACACCAGCTTTTATTAGTCACTGCCAGAGAGCAGCTCTAGCACGCAGGCCCACCATGTGCATAGTGGACCAGGCTCCTGCCCTGGAGAGGGCACTCTGAGGAAGGGACAGTGCTCTCGGCCTCTGCGGCGGTGAGGGCCAGCGCTGCCACAGGGCACTGCCAGCTTCTGCTGTCAGACGTTCACTGTTGTCATCCTTTCTCCGTTGTCCGTGCATTTCCTTCCTAAGAAAACCTTCCTTTCTGTGTGTGTGTGTGTGTGTGTGTGTGTGTGTGTGTGTGTGTGTGTATCCCCTCTGTTTCTAGCATGATCTCCGGGTGTGGGGCTCACAGGTGCTCTGTCCCTCCGGGCCTCCCTCCAGGTGCCACTCTCACCCCATCCAGTGCAGTGCGGGGCCAGTGAAGCTTGGGCAAAGCCCAACTTCCTGTGTCGGTCCCATTGCGGATGTTTTTCCGGGTGCTCGGCATCAAACTCAGAGCTGCGCACATGTTTGGCAAGTGCTCTGTTACTGAGCTGCATCTCCAGCCCTGTTTCTGAATTTTCTAACTTCATTTTTGTTGCTCTTTCTGCTATTTCTTTTCATCCAAGAATTTATTATATATTTTAGTGTATGTCTACTAATGCATTATAACTTGGTATGTCTCTACCAATGCGACATAAATGGCATGGTTGTCTATTTTTCTAGCAGATTGTTTTCAGATATCCAATATATATATATATTGGATATCTCAGGCCCTTGCAGTTGCCAGGGAAGCACTTATTCCACTGAACCATCTCCCTGGTCCCAATACATCTTTATAAATATACACATGTGTATGTATGTGAAAAGACATTTCTTCTTTACTTTTTTTTCTTTTTTATAGTTTTTTTTTGAGATAACGGTCTTGCTATGAAGTCCGAGCTGAACTTGAGGTCACTATGTAGCCCAGGCTGGCCTTGAACTCATGGTACTCCTCCTGCCTCAGCTTCCCAAGTGCTAGAATTACAGACATGTGACACCACACTCAGCTCTATTTTTTCCTTGTTCTTGTATTTCTTTGGCGGAACCGGGGATTGAACTCAGGCCCTTGTGCTTGCCAGGGAAGCACTTATTCCGCTGAGCCATCTCCCCGGCCCCTTTCCTTGTTCTTGTTTCCCATTCTGATATTTCTAATTTTGTGTTCTTTCCCCAGTTACAGTAATTAGGACTATTAGAAAAAGACAATATCTAGTGGTGGGCAGAACGATCTCTCTTCCAGTAACTTCTCATGTTTCATTGTTAAGCATGGCTATTAGCTTGTGTCAGTTACATTTCATTAAGAAACTGTGTTTATGTTCCTAGCCTACTAATAATCTACTAACAGCCAAAGGAGATGGTGTTAAAAAAAAAAAAAATTACAGGAAAGAAATGTTTAAAAGGCCTGTCCCACCCAAAATGTTTAGAGCCTTCTGACTGATGGGAGTGTTTTCCCAAATCATCAGAGAGTAGACAGACAATTCCAGAACTTGGAAATCAGAAGGCACTTTTCACAAAGCATTACTGAAGCTACCAGTACAGTTCTGAGTGAGCCGCAAACAGTCCCAAAGCGGAATGGTTTAAAGCACCAACCACTCATTCAAATCATGATTCCAGGGACTAGCCAAATAGTTTAGCAGATTAAAGCGCCTGCACGCAGGCACAGGGGCCAGGGGTTCAATCCCCAGGCCTGCCGCACGGGCCCCGCCCCCGGGGTGCACTGAGATGGCCATTGAGACTGGGTATGGAGGCACGTGCCTGTAATCTCAGCTCTTGGGAGACTGTAAACAGGAGGATCACTAACAGTCCGATCTAGTAGTGAGACCCTGAACACCGCGTAGACCCTTCCCTAAAATACAAAAAAAAACCAAAAAAGTCATGTTTCCAGTGCTTCCTGCATCGCGCTGAGCTCAACCAGAGGTGCCTGTTGCTGCTCTTGGTGGAGTCTCTCAAGGGCCTGCAGTGAGAAGCTCTGCTACTACTGCGAGCTGGAGCAAACGTGCATCTCACCCTCTGGCACACTAGACAGGCTTGTTCACATAGCAGCTCAGTTTCAAGCCCAAAGGCCAGAGATATAAGCCAGTGGCATGGCGACTGCCTGGCTAGTGCAAGGTCCTGAGTTCAATTCCTGATACCACAAGAAAGAAAATTGAAGTTTCAAGCACAGTGAGAGGCAACCCCTGTGGGCAAGGTCCCTGCCTGCATCACATTCATTCTTGTCCTGTTAGCCAAGCAAACCCTAAGGACAAGCCCTGGGTCATTGGAGAGGGCTCCACCCAGAGGCATGAACAGAAGGAGTGGGAGTGGAAGGGGCCATTCCTACAACAACATACAAACCTAGGCCCAAAGTTGCTAATAAGCATCCTATCAGATATGAATCCAGGCTGAGATACTCTGAACAAGAAAGTTATGCCAGAGTGCAGACCTGGCTGGATCCGAAGATGAGGCTTTGAAGGTTCTTGTCTTTCTGTGGTCAGTTGCACTGATGTGACAGGGAACCCAGAAAGACAAAGCAAGCTGCGTGAGCACAGATCTGCGTGACTGAGCACTGGGAATAGCCTGGCCTCTAGCTTTCAGTGCAGTACTCCTGGAGAGGGCCCAGTGGGTGTCGATCCAGAGCCCCTCCCCACCATCTCATGCACATGAGGCCTGGTGCCCACGCCTTCTTACCCAGGCTCTGCACCGTGACATTCTGCCCAGTGTTGCCATGTCTTGGATTTTTCAGGCCTACAAGAGGAAGACTGAAGCGGCCAAGAAGGAGTATCTGAAAGCTCTGGCAGCCTACAGAGCTAGCCTGGTCTCCAAGGTAACAGAATCTCTAGGCAACGCCCCAATGCAATGGACCACTTGAGAGGTGGAGCAAGAGCTACAGCCCATTCAGTGGCCAGCACTGCAGGTCTTAGAAGGGATGGCTGAGCCTGTATGTCACAGTTCCAGGGCACCCACCTGTGCCAGGCCCATGCCAGGCACTTGATGTACATCTCATTTCACTAAATTCTTCCTACTAGAGCCCAGCCTAGCAGCCTGCCGGAAAATGTCCAGTTAGTGGTTGTAAGGATTCGAACCCAGTTCGCCAGTCTTCACTGCTGAGCACATATCTTCCTCTCTGTCCACACCAGCGGTGCAGGGACGAGGTGGGATTGTAACTGTGTGGCCCAAGGGGAGTCACCCCAGGTGCTGAGACAGAGGAGGTGGTGCCCGAGTTGGGCCATAAAGGCCCAAGTGCAGAAGGGGTTCACAGCCAAGGAACAGCACACACAGGGACGCAGAGAGCAGTGTGGTTGCCAAGGGGATGCCACCCACAGGCGGGGCTGTGACCCACGGTGGGGCTGGTTGGCTGGTCAGGGCCAGGGGAGCCGAGGACCCTGTACGGGCATCACTGCTTCACCCACAGCTGTCCCTGAGGGGTCCATGGTCGTGGGGTACAAAATCACCTGGCTCACAGCTGGGTCTGCTTACCCCTTTTCCAGGGTGACCACTTTCTCTCTCCCCGCAGAGCCCTCCAGACCAAGGCGAGACCAAGAGCACACAGGCGAATCCGCCGGCCAAGATGCTGCCGCCCAAGCAGCCCATGTACGCCATGCCCGGCCTGGCCTCCTTCCTGACGCCCTCTGACCTGCAGGCCTTCCGCAGTGGGGCCTCCCCGGCCAGCCTCGCCCGGACGCTGGGCTCCAAGTCGCTCCTGCCAGGCCTCAGTGCATCCCCGCCACCACCACCCTCCTTCCCGCTCAGCCCCCCACTGCACCAGCAGCTGCCGCTGCCCCCCCACGCACAGGGCGCCCTCCTCCGCCCGCCTGTCAGCATGTCCCCGGCCCCCCAGCCTGCTGTCCTGCCCGCCCCCATGGCGCTGCAGGTGCAGCTGGCGATGAGCCCCTCACCTCCAGGCCCACAGGTAAGCAGGGCAGAGCAGGGTTTCAGTACCGGCCCTGCCATTTATCCATAGCACAGCTCCTCTCTGAGCATCAATTTCCACATCTCAGAAATGGATCCAGTACATCTTGCCTGTGATGCACCGGCCATAGTCAGTAGTCGATGAGTTGCCAAGGAGATGGTAGGAGTTTCCAGGAGCTCCTGTCATTTGCTGTCTACTTCAGCCTCCCAGTGCAGGGTCCTTGGCTCTCCCCAAACCTTTTTGAGACCTCACCCCCAGTGATGTTTCCACAGACTTTTCCAAGACTGTATTCAGCCCAGCAACCCCATTTTACTGATTGGCAAACTGAGACTTCAGAAAAGAAAGACCCCGGAAACAAAGTCACTCCTTGATTTAGCTAAGATAAGGGCTGAAATTCTTTGTTTTATTCTTGTTTTACAGTTCTAGGGGTAGAACCAAAGCTAGACAAGGGCTCTACTCCTGTGCTCCACCCACCTCCCCACCCCCCACCAGCTCAGGTTACATTTTTGTAAACTGCCTCACTGGGGAAAAGGAGGAAGCCTTGGAGGTGGGGTGGAGATTCTGTGGTGTGGCTCTGAGGGAGTGCCACACCGACACTCCACTCCAGATGCCTGCACCATCCCTCTCGTCCCTCCCCGCTCACCGTCCTCTGCTTTTGCAGGACTTCCCCCACATCTCTGAGTTCGCCAGCAGCTCCGGCTCCCGCTCCCCTGGCCCACCCAACCCCACAGGCAGCGGGGACTGGGACAGCAGCTACCCCAGCGGGGAGTGTGGCGTCAGCACCTGCAGGTCAGTCCCCACTGGCCTCTGGCCCCGAACATCCTACCTTTGTCCTCCTGTCCTCACGGGGAGAATGGACACAGGGTGCCAGGGGTGGGGAGTGTGAGCAGAGCCCGGGAGCCCTGCAGGGGGTGGCACAGCAAAGCAGGGTCCCAGGAGGGCTGCTGGGGAAACTGAGGCCAGTCATCCTGCTTGCTTTTGCTCCCTGCACTGTGTTTCTTCACAGATGCTTCTCTGTGACAGTCACACAGGCCCTAGGTTTTAAGCCAGGTTCCCCAGAAGCTGAGACTGAGACAGCAAGGATCAGGGAAGCCTTGGTGATGGGGTGGGGGCCTTGCAGGGCAGGGGCTGAGGGTGGCAACATGAGGCAGGAAAGAGCAGGCTGAGGAGGAGATGACCTCAGCAGAAGACTTCCTCTGCCTGACTCTGGGGACATAGGGGACCCTGGAGAGTGAACACTTGCCTGGAGTGGGTCCCACCTGGAAGTCAGCTGACTTTTCATGTGCCAGGGATAGTCAGCCATGGGCTGTGGGCTTCAACCAACCCCAGTGTCCATTCCCTGTCAGCCACAGGCAGTTCTCTGGGAAACAGCTGCTGGCCCAGGATAGGACTGAGGCATCCCAGGAGAAAGGGCCACAACTGCCTAACCAAGAACCACACACCTCAGAAGGGTCCGTCACCTGCTGCCTCCCCGGATCCTCCCACAGCCAGAATCCCGGGTCATGTGGCTCCCTGCCAGGCCAGCCAGCGAATGCCCTCCTATAGTCTCCTACACTCCTACACTGTGCCAGCTCCAAAGCAGAATGACCCTGCTTTCAGGTGGCAGAGGAAGAACAGAGTGGAGGAGCACCCGTGCTCCCAACTTGTCCCCACCCCCTTGGTGAGGACAAGCTCCCCACCCCCCGAGGACAGCAGACTCCAGGCAGCACTGTAATATTTGGTGAACAATGGCTTCTCTGCCACCAGGCAGGCTGTGGCTGCCCCTGACCACAGCCATCAGCCTTCTAGCCCAGGTTCCTGACCCTGTTATGCCTGCCAGTGCTGCTGGGCCCAAAGGGGACTCCGCAAGCACCCCATTTTGCTTGAAGCAAATCCACATGGACAGGCATGATCTGCTCCGAGGACCCCTCCCCAGAGCCCAAGCAGGTGTGGTCCCTCTTGCCCAGCCTGTTTTCCTTCCAGAAGTTTTCCTCTCTAAGGCTAGAACACTGGGGACAGGAGCACCTCCAAGGGCGTCCCACAATGCCCCAGCTTCCCCAGGCCGGTCCTTTGCACCCAGCAGGGTGTAGGACCATCACAGTCACTTCCTGAGACAAACAGTACTGCCTACCTGCGATTCTACTTGAAAGGGACAAGGAAAACTGACCTGATTGGAAGCAGTGAGGTTGGACCAGCTCTGGTGAGGACAGACAGACAGAGCAGCCCTTCCCAGGACCCAGTTCCAGGGGGATGCCTGCTTCTGCTCGGGGCCCAGTCAGGATCCTTTATCTAGCTCCAGAAAGGCAGCTGATTGGGGTGAGGGGCAAAGGGCCTGAACACAGGGGTGTCAAGGCTTCCAGGCCTTGGGGGTGTCAAGCCTTCCAGCCCATCCCCAAGGGCTGCAGCAGCCCTGACACCCTCCTCTCTCCCACAGCCTGCTTCCTAGGGACAAATCGCTCTACCTCACCTAAGCCACCTCCCCTCTGCTCCCTGAGCCTCACTGGATGGGCGCCGCTCAAAGCCTGAAGGGCTGACCGCAGGAGAGAGGCCATGACAAGATGCAGGGTGACCGGCCAGTGAGACAGTCACGCATCAACAGCGCAGGGCTGAGTGTCGCCCTCGACCTCCCACCAGACTCTTCAGAGGCAGCCCAGTGCCCACTGCCAGCCCAAAGAACCTGCAGGAATCCTCTGCCCGCTCGCCTGCTTGCTCCAGGGTAGCTACGGACCCTGCTCATCGCCTACGCAAAACTCCCTCTGGACGTCGGGCCCGGCTCGCCCTGGAGGGGTCGTTTCCCGACAGAAACCCACCCCAGCTGCTTGGCCAGGGCTTGCAAATACAGTTTTTCAGTGTGCACACAAGATTCCGCGTAACCTACAAACTGTGGGCGCCATGTAAATAGTTGACTACGTGTTTTAGAACTGTGCTGAAGACATGTGTAAGATTATTATTTTGTGGTGGGGGAAAAGTAGTTTCCTTTCAGGTAAAAGCATTTTATATGACCCTTAGCACATTTTTTTTTTAAGTTTTATCTTAAGGGAAGCGTGCACAAGCAGCTGGCAGACCGCTTCTTCTACGCAGTGAGAACCGGACAGTTTACGGCCACACTCAAGAAGTGTTGCTCTTTATTATTATTATTATTTTTTGAAACCATGGTGTCCATCTATTTAAAATTGCCAACCATGATTTTTGTCTATTTATGAACAGAACTTGAGACCAGAGCTCAGTTTATCCTAACGTGTGCGTGGTTTGGGGTTTGGTTCTTGACGTCGTCTGCAGCTGTTCCCAGGCCCAGCAATTGTCCGTCTTGGTGCCCAGTGCTTCTCTCAGATCTCTTTATAATAAAATGTCCTGAAAAGTTGCGATCACGTGTGGATCTCCTTGCGCTCCATAAGCCAGGCCTGGGCTCCTGAAGTGGCACGCAGTGGTGACAGAACCCTTGTGGGCACGGACGTGGGTAAGCTTCTGCCTGCCACTCCCCACCCCATGTGGGCCTCACCTCAGTGCTGCCATCCACAGAATGGAGGTGTGAGGTTCAGCGCTGTCTGCGGCACAGAGGAAGTGTCCAGTGCCTACGTGCCGAGTGGGTGGGTGGAGGACTTCACAGACGGCAGGGTGGACACAGGGAAACCCTGGGCCTCCAGAAGCCGAAAAGTGTCAGTAAAATCCCTGTTGCCCAAAAGAGTACCCCAAATTATAAGTGTGCACTAGAAGACACTGGCATTTTAATCTGCACAGCCATAATTTTTGTAAGACTTAAGTGGGGGGCTAGGAGGACAGCTCAGTGTAGGGCACGTGTGCAGTGTTTGTGAGGTCCTGGGTTCAATCTCTAGCACTTAACAAAGGGCTGGAATGCAATAGAGCTGTTTTCACAATTACAAATCCAGCATAATGTTTGAGAGGGGGAAAGGTGAGCTAATAATGAGGTAGAAAGCTGGGTGTGGGGGCCGGGGAAATGGCTCAATAGAATAAGCACTTCCCTGGCAAGCCCAAGGGCCTGAGTTCAATTCCCTAGTTCTGCCAAAAAACAAAGCTGGGTGTGGTGAGGCAAGCCTGTAATCCCAGCACCCAGGAGGCTGAGGCAGGAGGGTCACTGAGAGTGTGAGGCCAGCCTGGACTATATTGTTTGGCTGTCTCACCAAAACAAAGATGCAAACCCACAGGGTCCTCTGAGGATGAAAAGGTTATGGACAGGGAAAACCACCACTTGGGGGGTGGGGACAGTCAGCATCAGGTGACGGGTGAGCATTGCTTCAGTAGTCCCTCCAGATGGGACCTTCCTGCAGTGCAGGTGAGTGGCTTGGGCTGGAGGGGCAGGGGGACTTCTTCAAACCAGAATGTAGGACACATCCTAGACAAGGGACACCTTAAACCCAGTTCTCCAGAAGATATTAGTGACTGTAGTTTAGGAAGGAAGGAAGGAAAGAAGGAAGGAAGGAAAGAAGGAAGGAAGGAAGGGAAAGAGAGAGAAAAGGAATGAAAGGAAAGAAAGAAAGAAAGAAAGAAAGAAAGAAAGAAAGAAAGAAAGAAAGAAAGAAAGAAAGAAAAAAGAAAAATTTACCAGACTGCTTTCACTCCCTGGAGAAATATCAATTGCCTGGCAGGGAGAAGTCATTGAGAGGGTGCGGCTGTCCTGAGGAGGGGTGGGGTCCTGCTCCCAGCCAAGCCCGTGACCTAGGCAGAGCAGCCCCCAACATACATGATGGCTGTCCGGCCCTCTGGGCTCCAGTCCTGGCAGCACATGCCTTCTGGATGGATGAAGGCCCAGGAGTGGGCCGTGGCACGCTGTGAGTAGTTTCCTCACCAGAGAGCATATTGTAATCCACTTTGGAAAAAGAAAAAAGAAAACCCCAAACAAACAAAAACAGCATGCTGTCACAGCCGTGGTGGCAGTGCTGCAGTGTGGAGCATAAATATTTCATGCGGTTACAATTTCCTGTCCTATGTGGGGCTGTCAGTAACAGTGATGGCTGAGACAGTTTCATATTCCACTCTTGCTCTTACAGTGGAGAGAACGCACCGCCAGCCCTGTGCACACAGCCCCCAGCAATCGGAATGTGAGGCCACCAGCCCCCTTCCAGCCAGAGCTCCTGCCACCACCGCGTCTCCATGCCAGGTGCTCAGGGTCATCTGGAAGCACCCACATGCCACATGTCCAGCCTGGCCTTTTGGCTGCCTGAGGACCCCTCCCCCAGTCTAAATAGCTACCTGTGGACACCAGGGCGCTGTCACATGGGTGTGACCGATGGCCCCAGAGGATGGGAAGGAAGCCAGAGAATGGATGGAACCAGCTAATATACGAGGGTTGATGCTGACTCCACGAAGGAGACCCTACTCTTCTGCCACGGGGGTTATCACCACAGAATGCCCCAGGCCAGGGCTGATAAACAGCAAAACTGCTTCTCATAGCACCAGAGGATGGCAAGTCCAAGTCAAGGTACAGGGAGGTTCTGTGTCTGCCAAGAAGTCACAGGTTCCCGCTGTGCCTGCCCTCATGTTGCGGAGGGTACAGGAACACTCGTGGGTCCTTGTCCGAGGCCACACATCCCAATAAAGAGGGTTCTATTCTCAGGAGCGAATGCTCTTCCAAGGCTCCACTTCCCATATCCCATCGCACTGTGCATGAGGATCTCAACCTATGAACAGGAGGGGTCCCTGTTCTTGAGAATCTGAACTCATATGCAAAAAAGATCTGCTATGCTATTATAATAGATTCAGGGTTTTTTAAAAAGTTGCTCAACACATCAGATATTACTCAGCTCTGCTTCTCAAATTGCCTAAAACTAATAACCTGAAAGCCACCAGATGCTGGCGGGTAGTCATTCTGAGAACGACACGCAGTGCACAGTGGTGAGGGCGAGCGCTTTGGACACATCCTGCCATGGAGAATGTTGGCCCTGCAAGGTGTATGACCTTTGGCAAGACTCAACTTTCCTGTCTCCCGTGCAGCCCAGGGCCAACAGTTTCCTCTTCAAAGGGCCATAGTAACAGTGAATCTATGTCAAGTGCTTAGAATAACACTGTTGTGGTTCTTATAGAATTTGATCTCCACACCAGAAGGTCAAGTTTCCAGCCTTTTGTCCCATTCAAAATGAGCAGACCACACTGTCACACCAAGTCCCGGGTCTCAGTGGTTCCCCCAGGAGAAGTCTGTTCTTGGATCACTCTGCTGTGCTCAGCCAGCCCTCCCTCAAGCCTCCAGGAACAAGTGGGGCCCCAGGGTTCTGCTGTCCACTGGTCCTGCCCTCCTTCAGGCCATGAAGCCCCTGCCCCCACCCCGCCCTGTCCTTCACAGCCAGCTGGGCAGAAGATCATGCAGGAGGCCAAGAAACCAAAGCCCAGAGGTAGCTCACATCGGTACTGTCTACCTTTTGATGGTGGGAGCAGCACACAGGGCTGGGACATGGAAACTTCTAGAGGAAGTGTGGCCAGAGAAGAGAGTGAATGGTGCACCTCGAAGCAGATGCTGCTGCCGTACAGTAAGCGACACGTTTTCAGATGCAGAACATGTTGGCTAGAGAGGTCAAGGTACGCCTTGCTGGAAGTCCCATTGCTTACAAGGAGCTGAGAATTAAAGCGAGCCCTGTCAGAGCCCAAGTCCAGCCTCCTCCATGTTTCTTACCCTTGTGCCTAAGAAGCCACACCCACTCAGGCTGAGCTCTCAGCCACTACAGCAGCGGCACTTGACTCGCAAATGCTCCATCTTTCCTTTAAACAAATCCCCATGGGGGCCGGGGAGATGGCTCAGTAGAATAAGTGCTTCCCTGGCAAGCACAAGGGCCTGAGTTCAATCCCCGGTATCCCCGGTTCTGCCAAAAACAAACAAACAAACAAACATGGGCTTCAGGATGGATGAGGTGGCACGCACCTGTAATCCCAGCACTTGGGAGGCTGAGGCAGGAAGATCACTGTGAGTTCAAGGACAGCCTGGGCTACATAGTGAACTCAAGACTAGCCTGAACTACATAACAAGACTCTTAAAAAAAATAAAAAGTTAAAGGGATGGGGAGGGGGATGCATTCAGTGGTAGAACATCCTGGGTTCAATCTCCAGTAGCAAAAAAAAAAAAAAAATTGTAGTGGAAAATATGACATTGGGGAAAATTTTTTTCCAGCCTGCTTATATTTTTTCTCCAAGTTTCAACACGTGTGAGGACCTATGTGAATTCCGTCTGTAAGACAGCTCCGTCCTGCTAAAGAGCTGTTACCATCTAACCTTCTAAAGAAAGCAAAAGAAAATACTGAAGCATAAGCAGTTAGGAATGGACAGCTTGATTCAGAGCGTGAACTCCAGCAGGGCCAGACCAGAGAGGCTTTACACACACGAGGTCGCACAGTACTGGGGAGGAGGTGGGGACTGTAGATGGCTCCCGGACCAGCTGTCTCCCTTCCTGGCTGGGCCACCTGCAGCACCTCCTCCTTGGAGACTTCGTTTCTCCCCAGGAAATGCAGTGATGGTGACAGCTGCAGCGTGACCTAGTGTGTGAGCGGAGAGAACAGCAGGACGACTGGGCCAACAGTGTCTGCCCACCCTGCTCCAGACCTGTTTTCCTCGCCTGCTGACCGGTCACGCGATTGCACACTACCCCACTCAGTCTTTTCGATTCCAGAGGATGGCATGTGTGGTGGAGTCTGGCTCCCAACGACTCATATTTTTGCCACCTATCAGGCAGTGGTTTTTTTTTGTTTGTTTGTTTTGTTTTGTTTTTAAGACCAGGGCAGAAAATCAGTCTGCTGGTCTCTGTGGCCTCTGTTTCATTCTGCAGGCAAGGACAGAGCTGAGCCTTTCCC